CTACTATTTTGGTCATAGGCAAACACTTTCCAAAGAACTGCAATGCAATTAAAAAAGAACTTTCATACTGGGGCAGGCTGCAACAATATTCTCTGAAATGAGAACATTTATACCAATGGCAATCTATCTTGCCTGTAACTTTCTATTACTCTCATTATGGAAGAATTTTCTGTTTCAGTGTGCGGGTTTTTTTCCTTATTAGTCCAGTTTCTGCTGGATCTTACAGTTTTGCTTATTTGCTTGGCAACCAAGTGATGCTGGAAATAAGCAAACGCAGAAATGAGAATTGATTGCAAGTGTGAAAGATGTAGAAAGAGGGATTTGACACAAACAAGGAAAGAATTCTCAACTTCAATGCAAGTTTAAGGAAGCAAACATGAAAATTCATCACACTACTATTGTATGCCTCTGACAGAAAATAGCCTCCTCCCTCATTCAAAGGTTCTGCCGTTATCCTGGTTTGACCCACATCTCAGTAACATCTTTGTCCCACATCCTTTTATCATGTTTCTGCCTGAAAAACAACCCTTTTCTGGCAAACATTCTCTTTGATTGATTGAAGAAGTGTGTTGGGCAGACTGCTCCCGTCTTTGGGCTGCAACATGAACTCCATGCATCCTGCCTCTTCCCGTCTTTGTTCCCATTGTTCTAAGATCCCTTTTGAGACTACTGAAATGTGAGATAATTCATTTTGGAGACCTCTGGCAGAAAGCATTGTCCTTTTGGAAATTCGGAATCTGCTCAGCCTCCTTCTTAAGGATACTTAGAAGAAATAACTCCAATTGCCACAGAGATAATCCAAATTAATCTGCTTCTCCCATGCTGATATCCTCTCAGGGTATCATTTCTTATTTTCTCGTCCCTATATTTTGCTTTTCAAAGAACAATGGAACAAGAAACCAAAGGGACCACAGCTGCAAGACTTGCGGATATGGACTGTGGGACAGAACTGTTCCCCAAGCAGATGGCTCACTTGGATGCACTGCACCAGTGACCGTTGAACTGTGAGAATCCCGGTGATTTAACTGGGGATAATACAAATCCCTAATGATGATAAACAGCAGCAGCAGACAGAAATCAGGGTCTCTGGTGTTACTTCTCAACAGATTAAAAGTTTCATGTTGGGAATCTACATAGCAAGTCATCAGCTGTTACAGACACAAGTTGCCAAGGCAGCAACGGTTCCCATAACTGTAGAAGGATTTCAGTAGTTAGGTTTAATACATGGTATCTGCAGGCCCAACCTTTGTCAGCACAAATACAGACAAGCAGTAGATTAACAGAAAAGGCTTTATGGAAGTGTAGGCTTTGGTGACCTAAGTTCCTTAATGTTCTTCTGGTACAAGAAAAGATTATTGCTTGAACTTTTATACAAGTGCTAGATTTCCAAGATGAGTGAAGAACTGAATTTCCTTTCTTCATGGGTTTTATCCCACCATTGAAACATCAGTATCCCTACAAATGTTTCTTTCCAACAACAAATTTTGATGTTTCTAAGACAAATGATAGCCTTCTTCCTAGAGACTCAGCTGATGGATATATGCCCTCCTGGAACACCTCAGAAACATCAACATGAAGAGTTATAACCTGGGGTGGCAGGTCCCTTTCACTAGACAGAGCAGTCAAACTAACTCAATTTCCTTACTATATTCTAAGAGCGTAAGACAGACATATCTGAGCCCAAAACACACACTGATTTTTCCAAGTCTTTCTAAAGCTAAAAAGAAAGAAAGAAAAAAAAAAATCACACCTTCCTTTGATCCTATTTGTGGTTATGCATCCAGTCATAGTTTGAGAAGAAAAAGCATTGTTACTCCAGTTTCCTCTTCATTCTTCACTCCACTACCCTTTGACAAACACCTAACCCATTACAATTATTATCTTACTAAATGTTGATGTCCTTCACTCAGGCTATTTTGGGGGGGAAATATTTGGTTTAGAACTATGTAATTAAATAGTTTCTAATGCAGTTTATAGGAAGAAGTTCTTCTTGCATATCTAGGTCAATATCAATACCATGGTGCATGCTTTAGACAATGTAAATCATAGCTTAGAATATTTTCCGGCTTCTGCACAACTGAACACCAACAACTCCCTATAACCTCCAAAACAGCTCTGTAACACATACAAGTTAAATAAACCAGTGACAAAAAAGTGTTTTACAACAAAAAAAAGTCCAAACGCATTCACTTAAGAATTATTCAAACACAATACTTTACCAAGTTGGAGCCACTCTGAGAAGCATGGTGTCCAGTCTCTGAGCAGCACATGGTAGATTCAGGCACATGTGATTCTTTTCCTGAATTCAACAGAAAAAAAGTGTCTCCAAGAAAACAGTCATGATGCTGAGGGTGCAAAGTGCTTCTGGCAAAGGGGTTAGGGTGACAACACCACTCTTCAACTAAAGCACTCCAGTTTTCACTTGGTAGAGGAAGAACTCTGAGAAATTTCCTAAGAGGGAAGAAGAAAAAAAAATATTTCAATATATCATATTCATTTCTAAGACACTACAAGAGAGTTTAGACTCCTTACAAAAAGGGAGGGGAAGTATGGCATTTTCTCAAAAGCAAGTCCTTGACTCTCCTTTCAGTCAAAGGCACTTTCTTTGGATGAATTCTGAGAAAGCAATGGCTGAGTGTTTCCTGCCAAGTTTGTGATGAAGCATTTCCCAAGGGTGAATCTCCAATGATTATAAAGCAGAACTTGGCATAATCCTCTCTTGAAATGAATCACATGGCAAAAATAAAACAGTTCTATCCAGTCATGAAAAATATAACAATGGGCATTTTGCAGTTATATTTATTATTACTTCTTGTAAAGTTCCCTTGCACCAAATGTTGACATAAAACCAACAGAAACAGACTGCTGCCACAGCAAGGGAGAGTATGTCCTTTGAAGCCCCTCAAAGTCAGATACCAGGTTTTGAAAAAGCTAAATCCTGACAAAAATACCACGGCATATCTTCATTTAAAAAAAAAAAAAAAGGATAATGCAATCTTAATTTAGATTCAGACTCAACTTTCAGAAGTCACACAAAAAAAAAAAAAAAGTCAAATCCTTTTCTCCTGGGCAGCTGTATGGACCAAGGAGGCTGCTCCAGGCAATGCCAGACTTTGTTTGATTATCAGTGTTGTTTTTAACTTACTTTCTTTGGTTACACACAGTGCCAGAGGATTTTATAACCCAAGGTTTGGAATCACTGCTTTAAGTTGTAAAATACCCTTAAAGCTAGAATATATACATGTGGCTATATAAATACCAGTTTGGTCATTATGAGTGAGTGGTCAAGACTTTCCTGCCTACAGTTCCTGTAGCCGTTCTGTGGTCCCACAATGTGTTTTTATTAAGAATGTAGAAGTATTGATGGATACTGTCCACATATTTACACTTTCTTTAATCTGTGTTTTCTAGAAAACTATTGCACTGGGAAGAAATTCAGGCCCTTTACCAAAACAACGGGCAATGGCTTTAGCAGTGTGCACCCCTCCAACAGTTTTCCAGATGTACTGTTTGTCGCAGAGCTGCGCTTTCTGCTCTCTGCCTAGTTTCCTTGAATGGTTTCCTTTTGTTCCCTTATTTCTTCTGCTGTTGCCTGAAACCTTTACATAGAGTTTCTTGATTCTACTCCTTACTTAAAACTTGCAAATATAACTCTGCTTATGGTGCTGCTTCGCAAATAAACACACAGCTGCTAAGCCAACAGTTAGACACCTTCCCTTTCTTGCAGTTCACAGACTATTCTTTTCTGAAGATGCCAGTTCTTCCCATTGTAGTTTCTTGTGCCTTTTGTATTGTTGGGTGGGTGAAAGTAAAATCCTTTATAAAAACTTCCTTCTTTCTAGATTGACAATACATTTCAAGCTGTGCTTGCCCCACCTACAGATGAAAGTTGGAATAACTGGTCCTCTGACCCAGCTTTACCGTAACTAAATAAGATCATCTCTCGGCACTACCCATCACTGTCTTCATTCTCTGTGGTCTTATATATTGCCTGAGATACAACCACAATTCTGCCATGGTGGGACCTTAATTCTGGTGTTGGCCTAATGACTGATTATTCGTCAGCCTCGTACAATTAGTTCCAATGCCTGGACTCACACTGAAAAAAAGAAGTCTTCATTCCTCTGTATTGCTCTTTACAGCAACAAAAAGCTGGTATTGCACAGCAATGTTTTTTCAAGTGTTACATACAGGGGGGAAAAAAAGACAGAGATTACCTTAAGCTGCAGACTAATGCTGTCCAGTTTAATTACATTACCCTTTCTTTACCCTCACAGTCTACAGCATCAAGATCTTGAATTCTTGCCCAACAAAAGTAGTTGCTCCAACTGGTAGGAATTTCCTAAACAGATTCCTCCTAACTTTGAGCTATACTGAAAATATAGCATTTCCACTATATTTTAGGTTTTTGCCATTCATAGGTGGGAAGCTATATTCTGGATCACTAGAACTGGAAAAATGTAACACTAATAATAATGTAGCTTTCCAGAAAAACAAACAAAAAAGAAACTTGAAAGTTTACTCGGTGCTGACTAACTTGAGGCTGCTAAATACAGTGATAAAACCTAGCTAACAGGGGGACTTACCTCCCCAAACTTGCTCCTAATAACAACTGAGTTTCTACTTTAAGATAGCCACTTAAGCTGCCTTCACAGTCAGAGAGCGACAAACAATTCTTAGGTTGGGACCTTTAAGAGAAACTTTCTCCTTCTAAAAATGTCTAATATAGTCAGGCTGAATCTCCTTCTGGAGATAGTTCTGTGTCTCCAAACAGAGGAAACCTAGGTAATTAACTTAATTTTAAAAAGCTAGAAGTTAGGCACTAGTCTAAAAGAGTCCTGCCATAAGGATGTAATTCTTAGGTGGGTGGGCTTCCAGGCTAAGGTAAGTGTTTGACCACAGAGATCCTTATAAGACTGGACTAAGAAAAATAATCTCTAACACCATTATTGTGGTGTTACCATAATAACATAATAACCATTACCAATATCCAAGAACCCAGTAACGCCATCCTCTCTACTGAAAATTCAAAAAACTGGAAGTAAAATGGACGTTATACTTTTAAACATATAACCCTTCTGTTCCATCAGAGAAAAAGAGAAAGACAAAAGATGCAACTGATTTTCTTTTAACAGCAGTCTTCCTTATTTTCTTACTAAAAAATCTTGGACAGCCCAGCCTGGCAGTTAATTGTCATGCTTAAAGCTATTTATGTAGGAAAAGTGTAATTAGAAGATTTCCCCTGCCATCAGTTTTTCAATGCAATATTTATGTAGTAAAAATTCTTAACGTTTGGAGTAAGGAAAAGGTTTATTGCTTAATAGTCAGTTCATGAAATTTATTTTTCACAATATTCAGCCTTTAAGAATTTCTTCATAACAGAAATAAAGCTTTAAAGAACTATTTTATATATGAGTTACACTTAACCTAACTGGAAGGAGAAAAAGAAAAAAGAAAGTATCCCAAATTCTTTGCAGCTTTTTACTCATAGAAGAAAAAAAAATCTAATCACTTCCTCTAATGTGGGTAATGTGAGGGTAATGGAGAAGAATCAGAGCATAACCCTAACCTCTGAAGAGCTATCAGATTCATGGAAGGAAACAGACTAAGCCAGGGGATTTCAGAAAATGTATAGAGTCCATTTTCTTGCATAAAGGAAGGATCACTTACATTTAAACCATTCCTAGCATATTTCTCTAATCTAGTCTTTAAAGTGCTGGCTTCCTATGCAGTCTCTAACAGTAAAAAATAAGCTTCAGAATACGTTTGGGGTTGTTTTTTTTTTCATTTTAACCTAAATTCCTCTTGCTTCAACTGAAGATTACTGCCACCTTCTTTGCAGCAACTTCTTACATATTGGAAGAGTCTTATGTTTTCTCCACAGTCTTATCTAAACTAAATTCCATTTATTTCAATTTCTTCTCAAAGGTATCATTTTCTAGATCGCAGATTTTTCTTATTACAGACCCCTTCCTAGTAATTCACACTTTAATAAGTTCCCCCTCACACAGTTCTGTAACTTCCCTTCAATCCCACCACCTGCGCTGCCATTGTTATACTCACTCTCCCTGGAGAGACCAACACACGAATTCTGTAGCTAAAAGTACTGACTACACTACTGTCTTCCTTTAGGAAGCGCTGGAACAGAAGGTGTTGGATATGCTGGCAGCTCCACTCTTCTACCCTTGCCTTAATATTTTTTTAGTGATAACTTTCGAGGGGCTCAGAGCTTCCCTGCAAGAAGAAATGCCAAGCAAAGAGCCCTGAACGTGCTTTCTTTTTCCCTTCTCAAAAATTCTAACTGGGTCACATTATAGGACGCAAACTGCATGCATATGAATTTGATGCGCTGAAATTCAAGAAAACACCCACTCCGAGACGAAAATATAAAAGTGCAATATCTTTTGAAAGCAAAGGTTACTGACTAGAAATTGTCAGTTCCATTACTCTACAAATGTAGCAAAATAAGAGTTATTACTAGACTTTCTGATGAGACATTTCATAAGAGAAAGCCAGGAAATCCTCATTCGGTTACATTCAAGCCAGCCATAAATCCATATGTATGACAAGAAAGTAACAGGAATTTACAGAATATACCACATTTGTATCACCATTTTGCGTATTAGGAGTGACAGAGATCATAAAAGGCTGCAAGTACATCTCTAACAATTCTTATATATCCAGCTGAAGCTGTCAAAATTGTTCATCAGAAGAGCCAGAAAATGCAGTAGCTTTTTATTAAAATTCTCGTTCACTCCGCAGACTTTGTAAGAAACAGAGATAAGGCCGAGTCATGCAGCTAAGAAACAGCTCCTGTGTGTGTTTCTCAAATTCAGAATCCCTGAACTATGTGGAGGTTGGCTTTGCTTAACAGTTAGAAGGGAGCTGTGGTCAACACCCCCATTCTGAGCAGCCACTCTATAACTACAGCATGATGACTGAAGGGAATTTATAAGAGACTGCACAGAACTGAAGACGATCCCTGAAGGGCAGAGGAAGAAAGAAGTCTAGGCTCAAATTTTCAGTTTTATTCCTTTCAACATAGCAAAGATGTCAGCTACTAGGAGACTATGAGTATTTTTTCAATCAATGAAAACCACGAACATCTGCAATATTTCCAGGCCAAAATGTTACAGCTTTTTGTTTGTGCAGCAAAACCAGAAGCTATGATGATGAGTGCAAAGAGATTCTGTATGAACAAAAAGCATAGATCTCAAAGCAGAAATTTTACACATAGGGAAGTCCAGCTACAAAAGGAAATGTCTCGCCCAAAGCACAGCAGACAAGTGGGAAAAGAATCCAGATTTCCCAGCTTCCAGGGAAATGCACCCAACTCCCTTGGTAAAGTACTTCTGCTTTCCAGCCAGAATGAAATCAAGAAGTAAACAAATAAATGGTGAAAAACTGTTTCAGGTAATTTTGCTTTTAGTCATCTGTAGTGCTTCAAAAGTGTTCTCATCTATCAATTTCAAAATAAATACCTTTTAGCTGTCTCTCTAAGTACACAAAATAACATGAATACCAATCACTACAGCATTTATTGCTATAAATACAAGACACGGCAGTACTCACCGGTCTTGTACTATGATGTCACCACAGGATTGACAGTAAACGACGTAATTCTTCTGGGGTTTCAGTCTTTCCCTCAAAGTACAAACTGAATCTATAGATAGAAGAAGACATATTAATCTTCAAAATTGTGTAAAATTCTCAGTCACTTGTACAGAAAAATCCTGCCAAATACCTCAAATAAAAAAAGATAAGAATCTAACAAAGTAAAATGCTGACATTTAAACACAACCTTAATTTATTTACCTGTAGAAGCAAGTACTAAGATTTAGGAAAAACTTGCCATCTCCACCTCATGCCCCGTATTCCTAGGTAGGAATTGTATACGTGAATAATTATTTCAAAAGTGCAAATCCTCCCCACAGGGGGAGCTGAGATATTGATATCATTACAGAGATTGTATAAATTAAAATTCAATGCCACTCTTTTGTAATGATATTTCTACTAATCAGTGTCTCTGCAATATGAGGGTATCTCCCAACATGTAACACAAAATAGTCAGGGCACTAGTCGGGCACTAGTTTCAAATTTTCAGGCAGGTAAGATACCAGCCACTGTGGTACTACTCAAGGAATAGATAGTGAGCAATACCCTCTGCAGGCCAGCAAAGCAAGAACAGTCTCACAAAAGCCAGCTCAGACAACTTTTCCAAATTAAAAAAGGCCTCCACAAATTATCAAATAACATTAGATGGAAGAAAAGTAAAACTGTAAACCTAGTTCTATGTATGAATATGTTTTGCATCGCCCACCTTCTCGGACTTAAGAATCAAAGTATATTCTCAGCACTGGCACTCAGTATTTAAGATTTAGGTTGCAATCACAAATGGAAAGCACTTCAAAAGGTTCCAGAATTTGATATAAGACACAACTAGTTTTGCATACTGATATAAACCAATAAAGGCTAACTAAGGTTATCCAATATATACATCGATTACCATCTGGTTCACATATATGTTTTTCACTGGTATGACTTTCAGAGGTAAATTTTTAAAACTTCATCTTTCTTCTTTTGAAGCATGCCTCATTAATAAGACACACTAACTAATCTTTGTGTAATTGAGATGTCAAAGCACATGCATAATTACAGATTAATGTATAGAAGCAACCTCAGCATACCATAAAATCAACAGAGTATTCCAGTGCATTTCTGGTGCTGAAACCATTATTGTACATCACATACTTTATTGGTCATTTCTACTTTAAAACCACAAAATGGCAATTTTGTGTTAGTTAATGTATCTTACTGTGTCACATCCTAGTAAATGAATCTAAACATATTGAGCTTGGATTCTAGAATGAAAGCAAGCACCAGCTATTCTACCATGCTTCCTATTTATGCAGTCACATCCTAGACCTGAATGGATGGAAACATGATGGGAATACAGAACAACATGATGGGAATACGGAACAACCACCTCTGCAAGCTGAGGCTGCGAGAACAACAAGCCCCAACACAAAATCACCGTCCTTTATGATTAAGTGGCCGGTGACAACCTTAATGTGATAGCCTGGATGAATCATATTGTTGCATTTTCAGCTACCAAACACGAAATAGGAGGGGAAGAAAGTAATTTTGAAGTAATATGGGGAAGCATGGGGGAGGAACTGAGAGCAGTTCTCAAACTCCTACACAAAACACTCACTCGGCAACCCGGTTTCCCTTCCGTTACGCCACTTTTTGCACTTTCGATTTTTAAAACTGACAATTTTATTAAATTTTATCAGTTCCTGTTTAAATTTTCAATTCAGAGCTAAAGAAAGCCTTTCAGAAAAAGTGACAGCACATGCACAACGCAAGCACCATGAACTCCGGCTGGGTCTGGGTTGGTTTTTTTATTTTTTTTTTGGTGATGCAGAGTCTACACTTTACAGTCTCTGTTTGCACGTCACTTAAAAGAGTGAGGTTTCGGGTAACCCTAAGCAAAGCAGCCTATTTTTTTAAGGCACGGCCCGCGCTCTCCCCTCCCGCCCAGCGTTGAGGTGCGGCGGGCTCAGGCGCATGCGGAGGTGGAGGCCGTCGGCGGGGAGGCGGCGCAGGCCGCGGCAAGAGGACGGGGCCAGCCTGACCTCTGCCGGCAGCGCCGCCGCCTCGCAGCTCCCGCCGTTTCTCACTTCCAGGCAGTCCGCGGCCACCGACACGTCCACCGGCCAGCTGGGGAGGTCCGCCTCGCTGGGGAGGCAAAGTAAGGGGTTTACCTCAGAAAGGAGGCGTCGGGACGAGCTGCTGCTTTACGCACGCAGGCCACAACGGGCGGGAAGGGCCTCGCCGCGGAGGCACCGGAGCAGGGCTGCGGCTGGCGCAACGCAGTCAAAGCTCCGTGTCCGGTGAAGACACAACGCCAAGGCCCCGAGTCGCGCCGCGGCACCCAGGCGGCAAACCGCGGTCTCCCGTGGGGGTGAGGAGCAATCGAGAGAAATAAACCACCGTTCTCAGGAAGCATTTATTTGCACAGTAACTCGGGCTTTTCCGAAGGGAAGA